TCTGTGGGTCTCTACTGTGTGAGTAGTCTGTGGGTCTCTACTGTGTGAGTAGTCTGTGGGTCTCTGTGTGAGTAGTCTATGGGTCTCTGTGTGAGTAGTCTGTGGGTCTCTGTGTGAGTAGTCTATGGGTCTCTGTGTGAGTAGTCTGTGGGTCTCTACTGTGTGAGTAGTCTGTGGGTCTCTACTGTGTGAGTAGTCTGTGGGTCTCTACTGTGTGAGTAGTCTGTGGGTCTCTACTGTGTGAGTAGTCTGTGGGTCTCTACTGTGTGTGTAGTCTGTGGGTCTCTACTGTGTGAGTAGTCTGTGGGTCTCTACTGTGTGAGTAGTCTGTGGGTCTCTACTGTGTGAGTAGTCTGTGGGTCTCTACTGTGTGAGTAGTCTGTGGGTCTCTACTGTGTGAGTAGTCTGTGGGTCTCTGTGTGAGTAGTCTATGGGTCTCTGTGTGAGTAGTCTGTGGGTCTACTGTGTGAGTAGTCTGTGGGTCTCTGTGTGAGTAGTCTGTGGGTCTCTACTGTGTGAGTAGTCTGTGGGTCTCTACTGTGTGAGTAGTCTGTGGGTCTCTACTGTGTGAGTAGTCTGTGGGTCTACTGTGTGAGTAGTCTGTGGGTCTCTACTGTGTGAGTAGTCTGTGGGTCTCTACTGTGTGAGTAGTCTGTGGGTCTCTACTGTGTGAGTAGTCTGGGTCTCTACTGTGTGAGTAGTCTGTGGGTCTCTACTGTGTGAGTAGTGTGGGTCTCTACTGTGTGAGTAGTCTGTGGGTCTCTACTGTGTGTAGTCTGTGGGTCTCTACTGTGTGAGTAGTCTGTGGGTCTCTACTGTGTGAGTAGTCTGTGGGTCTACTGTGTGAGTAGTCTGTGGGTCTCTGTGTGAGTAGTCTGGGGTCTACTGTGTGAGTAGTCTGTGGGTCTACTGTGTGAGTAGTCTGTGGGTCTCTACTGTGTGAGTAGTCTATGGGTCTCTACTGTGTGAGTATGTGGGTCTCTACTGTGTGTGAGTAGTCTGTGGGTCTACTGTGTGAGTAGTCTGTGGGTCTCTACTGTGTGAGTAGTCTGTGGGTCTCTACTGTGTGAGTAGTCTGTGGGTCTCTACTGTGTGAGTAGTCTGTGGGTCTTACTGTGTGAGTAGTCTGTGGGTCTCTACTGTGTGAGTAGTCTGTGGGTCTCTACTGTGTGAGTAGTATGGGTCTCTACTGTGTGAGTAGTCTGGGGTCTCTACTGTGTGAGTAGTCTGTGGGTCTCTATGTGAGTAGTCTGTGGGTCTCTACTGTGTGAGTAGTCTGTGGGTCTCTACTGTGTGAGTAGTCTGTGGGTCTCTACTGTGTGAGTAGTCTGTGGGTCTCTACTGTGTGAGTAGTCTGTGGGTCTCTACTGTGTGAGTAGTCTGTGGGTCTACTGTGTGAGTAGTCTGTGGTGTGGGTCTCTGTGTGAGTAGTCTATGGGTCTCTGTGTGAGTAGTCTGTGGGTCTCTGTGTGAGTAGTCTGTGGGTCTACTGTGTGAGTAGTCTGTGGGTCTCTACTGTGTGAGTAGTCTTGGGTCTACTGTGTGAGTAGTCTGTGGGTCTCCTACTGTGTGGAGTAGTCTGATGGGTCTCTCTGTGTGAGTAGGTCTATGGGTCTACTGTGTGAGTAGTCTGTGGGTCTCTTCACTGTGGAGTAGTCTATGGGTCTCTAATGTTGTGAGTGTCTGGTGTCTCTACTTTTGTGAGGTAGTCTGTGGGTCTTCTACTGTGTGATTTAGTCTTGGGTACTCTACGTGGGTGTAGTCTGTGGGTCTCTACTGTGTGAGTAGTCTTGGGTCTATACTGTGTGAGTAGTCTGTTGGGTCTCTGTGTGATAGTCTATGTGGTCCGGTGAGTTAGTCTCGGTGGTCTCTGTGGGAGAGTAAGTATATGGGTCTCTGTGTGAGTAGTCGTGGGTCTCTACTGTGAGAGTCTATGGGCTCTACTGCTGTGAGTAGTCTGTTGGGCTATACTGTAGTGAGTAGTCTGTGGGTCTCTACGGTGAGTAGTCTATGGGTCTTACTGTGTGAGTGTCTGTGGGTCTCTATGTGTGAGTAGTCTGTGGGTCTCTACTGTGAGTAGTCTGTGGGTCTCTACTGTGTGAGTAGTCTATGGGTCTCTACTGTGTGAGTAGTCTGTGGGTCTCTACTGTGTGAGTAGTCTGTGGGTCTTACTGTGTGAGTAGTCTGTGGGTCTCTGTGTGAGTAGTCTGGGTCTCTACTGTGTGAGTAGTCTGTGGGTCTCTACTGTGTGAGTAGTCTATGGGTCTACTGTGTGAGTAGTCTGTGGGTCTCTACTGTGTGAGTCTGGGTCTCTACTGTGTGAGTAGTCTATGGGTCTTACTGTGTGAGTAGTCTATGGGTCTCTACTGTGTGAGTAGTCTATGGGTCTACTGTGTGAGTAGTCTGGGTCTCTACTGTGTGAGTAGTCTGTGGGTCTACTGTGTGAGTAGTCTGGGTCTCTATGTGAGTAGTCTGTGGGTCTCTACTGTGTGAGTAGTCT